AGGGGCAGCTGTTGTACTTGTAGACAAAGTAAATTTGAAGCCAAGACTGATTAAAAGAGGTAAGAAGTCACTACATCCTTGTAAAGGGAACAATCTAAGAGGAAGAGATGACAATCATAAAAACATATGTACCAGTGCTCGCTTCGGCAGCACATATACTAAAATTGGAATGATACAGAGATTAGCATGGCCCCTGCGCAAGGATGACACACAAATTCGTGAAGCGTTCCACATTTTTTTTTTGAAAAAAATCCCAAACATATGCACCAAGTACTAGTGTGTCCATTTCTATAAAACACTAATAGACATGAAAAATCAAATAGGCACTAATACAAGTGAACTGGGGGCCTCAACACCCCACCTTCACAAAGATGGATCAACTAGACAAAAAAAAAAAAAAAAAAAAAAAAAAAAAAAAAAAAAAAAAAAAAAATCAAAGAAATATCAGACCTGTACCCCATCTTTTTTTTTTTTCCTTGTACCAGAGGTCGGACTCGGGACCACGTGCTTACCAGGCAGGCAGCTAGGCCACTAGCTAGCTCTCTGCCCTCGCCATCATATTTTTGAGGTTCTATCTTCAGAGGTTCCTAACAGCAGGGCTTTGGACTCTAAAGATTATTCTTTTACTGTTTTTAACTTCTGTGTTGTTTCATAGTATCTATATTCTGGGAGACATCTTTGACTTTTTCTAGTCAAGGAAAAGAATTTTTTGGATTAGGATTTAGAACTTGGCACTTTCAAAAATTAGCAATGTTTTAATTTGAAATAGCTCTTTCTTTTCTTTTCTTTTCTTTTCTTTTCTTTTCTTTTCTTTTCTTTTGCGGAACCAGGGATTGAACTCAGGCCCTTGCGCTTGCCAGGGAAGCGCTTATTCCACTGAGCCATCTCCCCAGCCCCCTGAAATAGCTCTTTATTTCTTTTTCAAACTTCTTAGTATCATTATTTTGAGAATGCTTTTCTGCTGTTATGTTACCGCCCTGTCCTAAGGCTCAATTTTTCTGTTCAGTTCGGTGACTCCTGCTTTTTCCCATGTGCTGGGAGAGTCCCGGTGGTATAGAGGACAGGGAAGCCAGCCTTCGCTGAGTACTGTTTGGGGGCACTGGGTGGGAAGCAGGCTGTGAGGCTGCAGAGGCCTCCTTTCTACTAGAAATAAATTACTTTCACACATCCACGACTCGGCTTTCCCAAATATCCCATTGTACTTCTTTGTGGAGGAACTACCTGGTGTTTCACCTGCGGGAGGTCGAAGGCCTTGGTGAGGTGCGGCAGGAGGTGGGGCAGCACAGGGGGGAGACGTCAAGAGCAGCTTCTGTTTCAAGTCATCCCCTGTGTCTCCAGCCCCCATTCCCTCTCCTCCTCCCCTCTGTCCCTGGGCCACCTCTGGAGTTCTGAGGGTCGATACAGTTCCTGGGGGAGTGGTGGTTATTTCCCGCCTGTCTCTTCCGAGGCCACTCTGCAGCTAATCAGCGAGTCTGTGGGAGAACATCAGCTTCCCACCTCGTAAACTGAGCAGCCCCTGCTATGTGACTAACCGCTCGCTGGGACTTAGAGAAAACCACAGTTCCTCCTATCTCTACAGGACCTCGAGGGTCCCTGTCAAGTGCACACACAGACTGGATTCTGAGCCCCGCAACCACTGACATTAGTCAACCTGTACACAATGGTTAGTTAAGTCTCCCCAGAACCTGTCTGTAGCAATGCTAAGGGCACTGGCCTCGTGTGGCAGGACACTGTCCAGCTTTAGACTGTCCTTAGAACTGAGATGGATGGAAGTAAGGCCATAGGGACCTGATGCAAGCATTCCCGGGATGTTCCAGGGCCCTCCTCACGTTAATATCAGATCTAACACCCTGATCCTCACAGCACTGCGCAGGCGCAGTGCTCCTGGACCCAGGCTGCTCTCCTGAGCCGTATCCATCCACACTCCACTCCCTTCTCTGCCCACAGCGACCCCTTCACCCAGCGCCTAGCAGTGAGCTTCCACTGATGGTGTGTCCTGGCTCTGGCCTGCTGGCTCATGTCTGTCAACTCACTTGGAGCCACTTTCCAACTTCTGGGGACTTCCGGAAACTTCGTTTTCCCCACGAGCCAGCCATCTGGCTGGTTCTCTTTGGTGTCTCGGTACTTCTCTATCTTTACAGACTCTCAAGAGACAGAAGTAAATGCTGACATGGATTAGGACTTAGAACTTGGTACTTTTAAGGAAAACAGTGAGACAGGACATAAAGAAAGACAGGTACCAAAGAAGACAGGAAAAGTCATAATTTTAAAATTGAACTTTTAGTAGAAACTGCAGGCTTGGGAAACACACCCCAAAATCCTTAATGTTCTTGAAGACAGAGTTGGGCCTGGGCCACCCTTTTCTACCTGCAAAGAGGTCATTTCTGCCTGTGCAGAGACCACCCAGTCACAGGTAGATGGGCCTTCCTGGATCGGGCTACTGCTGTGCCCTCAACGGCTGTCACTGTCGTGGCCATGACCTTTTGCTACAGAAAGAGCCTTTCATCTGTGAAAGGCCACCCTCTGTGGCTTCGGCTTCCACCCACGAGGCTGGCCCGCAAGTACCTGGCCCAAGCCCATGAGCCACCCGTGCTCTTTCTTTTTCTTTTAAATTTTATTTATTTATTTATTTGTGTGTGTGTGTGTGTGTGTGTGGCCAGCTCAGCCCACCAGGGGGCGGGCTGGCTGGCATATGGTGCTGGGGATTGAACCGTGGTCCCTGTGCTTTGCTTGGCTTAGCTTGTTCTAAGTAGGTGCTTTAGACCCCTGAGCCATCTCACCAGCCCCCCCCCCCCCGCTCTTTCTTGAACTCAACTCTCCACATGCACACTTTTAAAATTCTGCCAAGGGGCTGGTGAGATGGCTCAGTGGTCTAAAGCACCTACTTAGAACAAGCTTAGCAAAGCACAGGGACCGCGGTTCAATCCCCCAGCACCACATGCCAGCCAGCCTGCCCCCTTTTTTTTAAATAAAAATTAAAAAAAAAAAATTCTGCCAAGTCCTCTTGCCCCTCTTACTGATGCATCCTGGAACTTCTTTTGCTGGGATGGAAACTGGGGGTGAGGCAAGTCAAGGCTCCCCATTTCAACTTTGGGACCTCCTTGCTTCCTGTCTGGCGACACTCTGATACTAAAAGGAATTTGGAAGATTCAAAAGCACACACCTGGAGGGCCGGCCAGATAGCTCAGGTGCAGGGAGGGACCAAGGCTCCATCCTGGTGTACTGTGCTGGCCCTGGCCCTGGGGCACGCTGAGACTAGGCTCTGAGACTGCAACTGAGACTAGGTGTGGTGGCATGTGCCTGTAAACCAGCGCTTGGGAGGCTGAAAAACAGGAGGATCACTAGGAGTCTGATCTCTGTAGTGGGACCCTGCACACCCTGTATTAAATACATTTTTAAAAAAGCACACACTTGGCTGGGGATATAGCTCAGCAGCATAGGCAGCTGCCTGGCAAGCACAGGGTCCTGAGTTTGATCCCTGGTACAAAAGTAAATAAATAAATAAAGCACACATCTTCAAAAGCACACACCTTCTATGTTCTACTGTTGCGCTTTTCTGGGGGCAGTTCCACTGGTTTTATTAGAGCTCTGAAGCCTTTAGGAACTATTAGGCTAAATAAAATGTGTTCAATAAATAAATAAATAAATAAATAAAATGTGTTCTCTCCAACAGCATTTGAAGTTGGAAATCCCTATCCACGATGCTGTTTCAGATCTTAAATTACAGATGCTTAAATCATTGCAAGTTAACATTAAAATTTAAAGTTGCTTAAAAATCCCACTATTACTGGTAAAACAGATGACTAAAATACTCCACCCTGCAAAGGAGTGGGTTTCTTTTAGAAACACATCCATGTGCATTACGCAGGAGCTAAAAGACAGCAGGAAAACCTCACCTTGGGCATCATGGAGGTTTGCTGAGTGTGGTAGCAGACACCTGTGATCTCAGCACTCAGGAGGCTGAGGCAGGAGGATCATCAAGAGTTCAAGGCCAGCCTGGGCCACAAAATGAATTTGGGGACAATTACACAGCAAGATGCTGCCCATGATAGATACATAAGACAGATAGACAGACAAAGACAGATGGACAGACAAGACAGTCAGGCATGCAAGAAAGCTGAGGTTGTTGAGGAGTGGGAGGCCAGACAACTTTCCAACCTGCTAACCCAGATGCTTTTCAGGTATTACTACTGAGGTATGATGACAAGTTTTATACTGCAAGACTGAATGACTAAGAAGACCTAGAGGCCGAGTTAAGAGCAGGCTGAAAAATAACAAGGAAAGGGAACCGATGGCTGTAAGCCAAGAGATGAGAGCCCTTGTAAAATAAAACACCAGATGTTAAGTTCAGACGGGCTTTGCTCAGTGCTCAGCAAATGTCAACTGCTGGGCTCTGTGTAAGTGACACCTGGTCACCTGATACTCACACAACAGTTCAGGCAATTGTTTTGTACACATTTTCAACATAAGAAAATCAAAAGCACAGTATCTGTTCAAAGTAGGCAAATAAAAACAAATGCATTTGTAGAGCTATGTTGATAGGATGACAGCCAGACACACAAGTGAAGCTCCTAAGGTAAAAGGGACAGATTCATGGTGTGTTGATGACAGCCAGACACACAAGAAACCCAGGTGGCTTCACTTGGTTCAATACACTAACAGCAAACTTTTCACCTGCTGATATACTCAGGACACCTGGAGTAACATTTAAAAGTTAATGATCAATAAGTAATTTTCTTTTTTTTCTTTTTTTTTTTTTGGTGGAACCGGGGCTTGAACTCAGGCCCTTGCACTTGCCAGAGAAGCGCTTATTTTACTGAGCCATCTCCCCGGCCCCAATAATTAATTTTCTATGTAGAGACTGCCTAACTGTCTGGAATAAACTCTGAAGGTTGTTTTTAAATAAATCTCACTATTTCAATTTGCTTCACTCACACAAGACACCCCCGAAAGGCTTCGGTCAACGTGAAGCTTGTGCACCAGAGAGCCCAGGTACCCACCTAAGCGGTGGAATCCGAAGGTGAATCTCCTCGTGGGCGACTTGGAAGACAGCCAGAGGGCCAGCAGGGTGAGCACGATGGCGCTGAGGTCGGTCAGCATGTGCAGTGCGTCTGTCATGACTGCCAGGCTGTTGGCAATGTAGCCACCTTCGGGAAGGGGAGGACAGGTTCAAGATCGTGCAGAGGAGGGCGAGCACCGAGCAGAAATCCAGCACCCTTTACAAGAACAACTCCATCGGGTCTTTATTCCCCCACACTGCCAAGTCACAGCATCCGGAAAGTTTACACAAAATTGACGCGCACGGATGCCCTCTGGCACTTTAGAAGACTGGCGCCAGGACTGTCCTTGGATACTGAAATCTCCACGCTCAACTCCCTTATATAAAATGGCACAGGGGCTGGGGAGATGGCTCAGTGGAATAAGCGCTTCCCTGGCAAGTGCAAGGGCCTGAGTTCAATCCCTGGTTCCGCTAAATAAATAAATAAATAAATAAACAAATAAATAAATAAATAAGGCACAAGGCCAGGCATGTGGTGCGTGCTGGTAATCCCAGCACTCAGGAGGCTGAGGCAGGTGGATCCTTTTGAGTTTGACATTCTATACCATTTTTGTTTTATGCTGCATTGTTATTGTCTTTGTTCTTGTTATTTTTGTTTTCTCCTTCTTTAAAAAGGAAAAAAAAGTATAGTACAGTATTTGCACGTAGCCTACACACATCCTCCCATATTTATGCTTTAAGTCCTCTCTAGATAACTTGTAACAATGCAAATGCTTCATGAATAACTCGAATGTCTTGCTTAGGGAATAACAAAAAGTCTGAGCTCACTCAGTACGGATGCACTTGTTATGTCACATACTCCCAATGCACAGGTGGTTGAACGGACCCGGGACACAGTTCTGGCGAGAAGGTTCATTTTCTACCAATAGAGCTTCCCACACGCTGAGACCCACCCGGGTGCAGCGGGGCAAGCCGGTAATCGGCTTCACTGGAAGCTGAGGCAGGAGAATCTCAGGCTGGAGCTCAGCTGGGCAACTCAGCAAGTCTTGGTCTTGAAATAATTTGGGTAGCTCACTCGAGTCCCTTTCTGTCCCTCTCCTGAGCAGCTTTCTTTCTCCAAATGAATATATTCTGCTCTTAATAAACACATTAATAAAATAAAATAAAATAAAATAAAATAAAATAAAACAATTTGAGAACTGCTGAGCTGGCAGCAAACTGACAAGAAATGTCCTGGCATGGCAGCTTTTGCTCAACCCAATTCTATTTCTACTGCTCTATTAATCCTATGATTAGGGAAAAAAATCCCATGATTAGTGAATTAATAACCACAGTACTGAAATACCAACACAAAGCTGAAGGTCAGGCATGCGTTCACTTGTCGGCTGTTTGTCGGCTGGGACACTGCGTGAGGCTGAAGACATCCAAAGCAGCTGTGTGCCTTGGTGGAGCACGGAAGACAAAAGTTGATGCCCTCGGATGGATAAGCAATCTTGTCCCTCCCAACAGGAGAAAAGGTGGCTTTGAGAAATCTTGCTCTGATTGCAGGCAGTGGATAGGAAGACACCGTACCAGCGTGTGCTGTTCGCACGTTCCCACCAGAACGCACGGTAGCTGGAAAGCTGACGGACCTCTGGAGTAAGGCTACCAGGGCCACCAAGGTGGCTTCATAAGAAGAGAAACTGGGTGAGGTGGCACACAGTAGTGACCCCAGCACTGGGGAGACTAAGGAGGAGGGTTGCCGCAAGTCTGAGACCCACCTGGGGTACGTATGAGACCAAGGCTAGCTTGAACCACACAGGAAGACATCGAAAGAAAGAGAGAGGGAGGGAGAGAGAGAGAGGGAGGGAGGGAGAGAGAGAGAGGGAGAGGGGGAGAGGGAGAGAGTGAGAAAGAGGGAG